AGATAAAGAGCATCAATGTTGTGCTGTCTCAGCTTGTGGCTCAAGTGAATCAAGAACACTGCGAAAAGCATCATGATCAAGAAAAGGTGTCAAAGATCGTGCAGATAGGAAGTAGGCAGGCATACATTAGTAAAGAGTGTATCCATACCTAACAAGACACAACAGCAGATGGAGCAAATAAGTTGGGATAGGGCAGAAGTGATACTGGCTATAGTGAAAAACATAAGGGAATGAACCTCCCAAAAAAAACTCTTCTGGAACGTGATTACCTGCCTCAGATATCATAAGTCACCAACAAGACATGTAATGATCCTAATGGTGATAAATTGAAAACATGTTGAAATCAGGGAAGATGAAGAGGACTGGTGTGTGGCTGTTTTACCTTGGGACTCAAACATAAGGTGCAGGAAAGAGAGTAGATGAAAAAGGGTAGTTAAGATGATGAAGACATGAAAATTGAGCACTGAAGTGCAAAACAGAAGTCTTGGACCTGCTCACCAAGCAGAGAAAAGAGATTCCAAAGACTGTGAATCAAGTAAGAGAAAGCTAGAATGGCTGTAAGCTAAGACATGAGGATCATATAGGCAAGGAGGACGAGTCATATGGTCATGTGTACGACGTTGTTCCAGAAAAGGAGTCATCATGAACACAACTGTCAGACGAGGGAGGAAAGACAAAATAAGTTTAAGTGTTAGGGTCATAGAGCAATGAACATTAAAAATCATAACACATGGGTGAAAGTGAAAGAATGTAACACATTTGTGAAACCAAGTCCTTAAACAGAGTGGAAGGTTGAGGACTTTTCTCGACTGGTAGAGTGGTACCCAAAGCAAAAACAAGAAGAGGGAACAGTCAATTGAAATAGTCTTCCTCTTGTTCAATCTCAAATTCAGGAGAAGGGATGCCAGCATGCCTGATGGACTCCACAACATCCTGTACAATGACCATGGCATCCTTCTCAGTCAACGATCTCTCTGAAGCTATAGTTGAGGTAGGTTCTGTATAAAACGTCATCACACACACACAAAATAACAATGAAGTCAGATTGATATGAAAATTCACAATAATAAACTAAAACAGTGAAACTAATATCAAAAGTATAATGGAAATCCAAGGTCCATTGACGAATGTTAATGTCATTGACTGAAATAAGAAAAAATTTAAACACGTCTGTGTCATACAATGCCGAGGAGAATAATGAAGTTATAACGAGTACAAGTGCGGAGTTACTGTACATGAAGGTTGTGCCACTCTCCTATTAATGGAGTGCTTTTGTCAAATGATGATGCCATCTTGCACCAACGCAGTTCACGTTAAAAGACGTAGTGGCATGTAAATGCCATTGGCAAATGTGTGAGGAAGATAGCAGTTCTTTGTGCAGAAGTGAATTATCTCTGGAACAGCTGAGTACCATCTGTGTCTCTATTACTTTGGTCTTGAATTCCTGCAGATGAATGGTTTTAGGTGGATCATCTGGCTGGTCTGTAATGTTTAGGGTCAACTTATTGCTGGTGTTTGACCCCCTGAACAGTTGATGTAGACACAGTCTGGCACTGATATTTATGTATAGTGCCTATGAAACTCTGTCATTGCTGTTCTAACATACTTTTTACAATATATGAATCCATTATGGGCACTGAATGTTTTATAGAATCTTTAAACCTTAAGCTATTACCTGATACCTTGAAGATATCTCAAACTAAATATTGTTGACCATGATCTGGTATCTCAATCTAAACTACGACCTGTCCTTAACGTTTTTACCATCCACTTTTTATTAAAAATATCTGAGTAAAATTTCACGTTCATTATCTAGCTTGTTGTTTCTCATCCACCATCTAAGACACTCTGGTCAAGGGATATAATCATTGAAACATTTAAACCTACGGGTAGCGAGTTCCATTCAATATCCAAGGTTCTCAGAGAAATCCCTATTGAGGTCACTCCAACACACTCTGAACTCCTCAAGGAGAGTAACTGCTGTAAACAATCTTATTGGTATTCTAAAGAAGAAATTCATTCATAGTTTGAGTATTTAGAGCACAATTGTCCACATTTTACTTTCATGCTGTTGCTATGATATTCAGAAGAGCATTGTTTTAGACAAATTCTATTTTTTGATGTCCCTTGATGTTTGGCAGTATCGTATGAAATTAAAATACTGTCTACCATTACAATATTTTTAATTGTTTATTGGCCATAGGCCTATTTAATTCTGAATCTTGACAAAATCCATCTTTTTCCTTCTTTATATTTTAGGGAATTCTGCTTTATTGCTATAAAACAATGGTGTACTCCATAAAGCTTTGCACAATTAAACCCAAACAATCTGTTAAATAGGCACAACTGGTTTAAGTTAAGTATAGCGTGATTGTTAAATTTAGTTATTTTTAGAAGCAACTGTTTATTGCAGGTTTGTTTACGTAACTCTGGGAATCATATGTTGTGCAGTTCAATTGATGTATTATTGTGTCATGTTACTGGAACCTACTAAATTTTTCTCGAATATTATTACATCATAATATCTCGTAGTATGTGAAAAGTTCTAGGTGGATATTTTGCAAGGGGAAAAAGAAATTGGCATATTTTAAAGGGGGAAAACTTGGAGAAAATGGATACAAAAACCAAACTAAAGAACCTGTTGATCTTAATAGTCTCAAAGCCAAGGATTCCACAGATGAATGCATAATTCCAAACAGCCCCATAAAAGACATAGAAGCGGAACTGTAAGGGAAGAAAGTCATTGTCTGGGTCGAGATGTATTTCCATCTTACAACAAGAAAGGAACAAAACGAACAAGAAACGTTAGAAGTAGAAGGCTAACAAGTAGCAGGAGTGGATAGGTAGATAGTGCAGGTAGACGACTATTGCTACTTGGAAGTGACAAGTAGGATGATGACCTGAAGTAAAAAGTGAAGACAGAACCCCAATCAGCTCCTGCTGATGATCATCACTGGACTACAAAATCAATTCAGTTGAAATACCAACAAAAATAAGAGGTTGCAAAAAAGAGGTTTATAAATAATGTCCACATTATTTTCTCAAGCTACTAATCCCTATCTTGACTCTACCAAAATTCATAAGTCAAAATAGGGACTTGTAGCTTGAGAAAATAATTTAAACCCTATTCCCAGCCTAATTTGTTTAATTTTTTAGAATCCCTAGTTGTAGGCTTGAAATTATAATCTTTGCATTTTGATTCAACTTGTTTCTGTACGTTTTGACGATCCCTATTCCCTATTTTTAAATTATTAATTTTTAATTATCCCGCTTCTTAAGTTTTTTATGTCCTTTTATGCAAAAAAAAGTTTTAAGTTACATATGTGCACATGCACTCTGTTGAATATTACATGTTTTAAAACAGTTTACTGCTGCATTAGCTTTCTTTCCATCCAACCATTGGTTTTGTACCTGAGGTTTCGTATAAAAACGTGTTTAACAAGCGTCTATTACAAAGGAAGCCATTCACAACAACATCACACATATCATGTATTTATATCCACGTAAATCAACTTCCAACGAAAAATAATAAACTTTTTAAATAGGTCGTGGACATTCACAGCATTTCATGTATAATATCTGTTTAGGTTTTGGTGCAAAATACCCAGCCAACTTTGCTGTAGGTTTGTGAAACACAAATATGAATAACAATAACAAAATAATACTGAAACATACACTCATAATTTCAGCGAAGTACGAAATTCAGTAAAATAAATTACCACTCACAAGAATAGAGAAATCTACTATGGTAATCGTCTATTGAAATAGCCTCCCAGTGGCACAGTGGTATGTCTGCGAACATACAACGCTAGAAACCGGGTTTCGATACCTGTGGTGGGCAGAGCACAGATAATCCATTGTGTAGCTTTGTGTTTAAATTCAAACAAACAAACTATTGAAATAGTCGCAGAAAACCCTGTAGAGACAAAGCGAAGAAGAAATTGGAAAATTATAAAGGTGGAAAAATCTCGACTTTCAAGAATCAACTTAAAAAACAACCATACAACCTTCGGAGGAGTTTGTTTAGTAGCTGGACATAGATTTTTACTGTAGGCTACGATTATTGAATGGCTTTGAAGATAAACTTGGCCAGTAGTAATGAAAAACTTATAAAATATATCCATCTCTTTCAAAAATCAACATAAAAATAATCTTATGACCTGCGCATGGGGTATTTTAGTAGGTTTTCTCAGGTTTGAATAAAATATTCATAGCCATTTTTTGTAGGCTTGTGAAACAAGAATAATATGAACAACAAATGGATGAACTTTGAATTTTGTCTGACAATCGAAAAGTCAACTTATTTGCTATTATCAATATTTTAGCAGCCCTTGCCATTCAGATAGAAAGTCTTGAGTGTTGTTTCAAGAACGAGTCTGCTTTTTAAGATGGTTTTTGCCCGTAAGTTCTATTAGAATTTTTGTGAAATTCCTTGGCGATCCCTATTATGAACCGCTATCGTAGTTCATGATAGTTTTATATAACTGATAAAAAACTTTATTGTATATGCTATCATCAAAATATATTAAAGGTTTAATAACAAAATAGTTTTAAATTATTTACACCATGTTGTTGTGGTATATCCATGTAAGATTAAGTTAAATTAAGAGCAAATGGACATGTCCACTTAATAACAAGATATTCAGTCAAGATGTCAATTATGAAGTAATGTCATATCACTGAGTAATTAATTTAGCTATTAGAATAAATGAAATAAAGAGACTAAGCACAAGGTGCAACACAGAGTGAACAATCATTATTATAAGAGACATAAAACTTAAACCCAGTGTGTGTACTTGGTTTTACTTACATGGAACAATCATTTCTACTGAACCCCTTGCATTAAATCGTCCAAGATGAATACATGTACTATGCTAACTAAATTCAGAGTTCTTAAGTTTGCAAAAAAAACGTTGTAATTGACTCAGAGCAACTGAGCTACTCGTATGACTGGTTATTCTTACTCAAATATAAGTCAGGCTGTAACAGCAAGATATTACCTGATCTACAATTGAAGAACACTGATGTCGACATCCTTGCACAATGTGCAGTATTGCAGCAATACCCGCCCATCCATCAGGAAGAACTGATTTCATCTATGAGTAGTCAAACAACTAAAAACACATACATTTAGAACTTTTAATAAATCAAACGTGCATGACAAATTGTTGTTTCGATAGAACTGAAAGCAGATAAACCATATTCAAACAAGCAAGACTGCATTCGAAACTACAATTTTCCAGACCAATCTGGAATATTTGATTATGTAATTAACAAGATAATTGTAACAGGTATCCAACTGTGAAGTTTTAGCTTTACTGCTTGAGTAGATTTTCTCTCATAGCTGAAACTTTTTATGAAAATATTTTTTTAAAAATCAATGAACATGTTAATAATAATAATTGTGAACAAAGTTTTTATGAGGTAATAAAATTGCACAAAGTTATGCATGCTTAAAATTGAGCAGAAATTGTACTGAAAGATTTAAAAATCATCAAAAATGCTATATATAATCTTGTTCAGTGACACTGTAACATTAAACATCACCAACACCAAACTATAATGACCCAACAACAAACTTCTATCAGATAAGTTAAATTTCAGCATTACTAATAGCGAATAAGAACCGAATAACAAACTTTTATCAACTAAGTTTTGAGCATTACTAATAGCCAACTGTAAGGATTCAACAACAAAATTTTACCAGGTAAGTTTCAGCATCACTAATAGCCAGCTGTAAGGACAAAACAACAAACTTGAAAAAAAAATCTTTAAAACACCAAGAAAAGCTCTCAGAGAACTTCCATCAAGAAACTTTTCCAAACTTGTTATAAAAAAATTCTATAAAATTAGTTAGTGATTTTAAGTTAATTACTCACCTACTTCAATATTTAAGCTGAAAATTACTATTTAAATGTACTCAAATTTACTTCAAGACACAAGAATGTATATTCTCATGACTTAATCATTACAAATTAAAGCTTACACCAAACTACAAAAGTACACTGTCTTTCCTCTTTAAATTCATTTTATTCAGACCTGCTCCAAGATTCAAAATTGTTGTATCCCTCTTAGTTTAATTCATACCCTCAAATTTACTTCAAGCCACAAAAATATCTTGTCTCTCCTCTTTAAAACTCATTATACTCAAATATGGATCTAGGGAATTAGTAACATTTACTAACTGATTATTCAATTACATTTAATTAGTCAATCAGTACAGTGTTTCTCAGACCATGGTATGTACAAGAAAGAATAAAACAAAAAGCTGTCCAAGAAGGGAAAAATTAATTAATTTGGTGGTTGATTCTGCCAGACAGTTGCCTTCCCCTCTAGAATAAAAACAAATTTGGTGGTGGATGTTGCTAGCCATTTAGCTTCCTTCCAATCAGCAGTTCAAAAAGAATAAACAAGATGACAGTGGGTGCTGCAAACCACTTGTCTTCCCTCTAGTAAGTAGTTCAAAATTAAACTGTGGAAGATAGCCCTAGCAGCATTTTCATAATAAAGACAGGGTAAACAAGTTTGGTGGCAATAGGAATAGAACCTGAGACACTCAAATCGCGACCCTCCACGTCATCAAATCACCAAAGCTAAAAAGACTTGATGTAAAATAGAGAACGATGACTTATAAGGCTAAACTTGGACAGAGCACACACAGCCCATTATGTTACTTTGTGCTTAACAAATAGTTGGAATAATCAAACAAAGTATTAACCCTAATTTTGATTAATTGATTATTTTCGGGAGCTTCAATGTGATCATAATTTCAATTAATCAGTTGTTGGAGTAACCAAACACAGTAATAACTGGGAACACTAATTTCACTTAATTGGTAGTTTTCATGATAATAAATACAATTGAAATTTCAATTAATCGATTGTTGGAATAATCAGAAACGCTAGATTAATTAATCATCTTCATAACAATCAATTTAATCTTATTTTCGATTAATCAGAAACACTGCTTTCAATTAATTCTTTATTTTACTTGACACTAATCGATGTTTGTTTGTTTTTAATTTTGCGCAAAGCTACACGAGGGCTATCTGCACAAGCCGTCCCTAATTTAGCAGTGTAAGACTAGAGGGAAGGCAGATAGTCATCACTACCCATCTCTTGGGCTACTCTTTTTACCAATGAATAGTGGGATTGACCATCACATTATAACGCCCCCCACGACTGAGAGAGCGAGCATGTTCGGTGGGGTAGAGATTCGAACCCGCAACCTTTAGCTTTCGAGTCGATCGCCCTAACCACAACCTCTACTCAAACGTACTCCGAGATACAAAATTTTCCTATTCTATATACGTATATTGCGAACCGTGGTGTCTGTTTCAAATGATGGGAAGTATGAATAATGTTGATTCCAAATTTTATTTCACAAGCAGGATATTCTACACTAAATTGTTAGGAATTAATCACACTATCATTCACATTTCAAAATGGGACGTAACTTAAGAATAAAAATGTAGATTTACCATGACTGAAATGCTTAATAATTACTTTTCGCGGGGGGCGGTATAAGTAAGTCAGAATTTTGTCTCTGGGTGAAACCAACAATGCAACACAATTAACCTTTTTAAAGTCTATTAAATAATTTAAATTGATAGATTAACTTAAACTTTTCCCGTCACTGGGGAAGGATACTTTTGCATGTCTCTCCGAATTTAATCAATACACCTAAACTTACTTCAAGCCACAAAAATGTCCACTTTAATGCAAGTTCTCTTCAAACCAAAACAGTGTTCTACCACTACTATAACATTCCTTGTCAATATTATTTATTTACACATTTCCTCCTCCTACAGTTAAAAAATATTCTAATACAAGAGGATGAGAAATGTTGATAAAGTTTATGAGATAATAATGGACTAAAAGACATTGCAAAACCATTGAAGCTCGGCAAAAATATCACAAGTTTTTCTTGCTTGTACACTTAATTCAATATTCATTGTTTCCACTTCAATGAGATTACATAAACTGTGTATTTAAAATTTCATTCATTGTTTTATCACGCCAGTATCATATTTCTAAACTGATATCAACTTGACAGCAAATGTATTCCCCAGCCAAGTCCATCTCTCTGTCTTATCAAACATAACTGGGAACAGAAATCCAGTTACATTTCTCTCTAGACTATTTTGTTTTTAGTTTTAGACTAATTACTCATTATAAAATCCACTTGAAATTGCACTGAGCAGTATGTTATATTAATACTTCTTCCTCAGATAATTTAAAATATTTACATATCAAATGAACAAAACAGATTACTTGAAGCTCACTAGATTATTAAGATAGATAAAAAAATTAGGAAGAGTTTCAAATAAGATCAGAGGCACTTCATGCAAGAAGGAATCTGTCAAGAAGTAAAGTAAGCTTCTCTAAAATCTATTTTTCTAGTAATTCTAATTGTAACTTGACACACAAAAACTGAACCGAAAGAGAAAAGTTTTGACCATTTTTCTCAGTTACCAGAACCTCTCATTGATTTCCATTATACATCTCTACCTCTTGAGATGCATCTTTCATAGTTTTCTAACTGTGACAATGTTTCCCTGATCCAACTTCATCAGTTACTTGCTAATTAAAATAACAGCGCAGACAAATGAAGAAAAGAAGGGTAATTAAACATATTTAAATTATGTAGTATACCTTGAAGAGTGAGAATAAAACTATCAAAATTAGCTTATATTGCTTGAAGGAATCTTTACACAAATTATTCAACGTCTCTATCAATCCCTTACTTATAATAATATTTTATAAATAATATAATTAATTAATGACTAACTTTCTGACCACAAAATGATATTACATATACTCTACATTACCTTATGCAATCTCACTGTACTTATAATAATTATTTACGCATTTTCCATTTCATATTTTTCTCAGGTTACTCCTATTTCACACACATAACACACAATAATCCCAAGATCAATTAAGATTTTTTTATTGCCTTTGACTTACGTTATTCTCTTCAATAGGTTATCAAAAACTTGATCAGTAATTTACAAGTTTCCATTTAAACCCACAATACTAATTCTTACTTCAAACCCTAAGCACATCATATGAATTCATTTAAACTCACTGTACTAATTCATAACTGCAAACCACAAATATGTCGTAACACTTCAGTTAAGTTCACCCAATTCCTTACTTTGAAAGTACGTAAAAGATACTGTGGTCAGTACTGTAATAAAAACAAATATTTATCAAAATCTAATATTATTTTAAAGTTGATTAATAAGTTCTTAGACATGTATTTTGTGAGAATTATGTCTTGATTTTCAACCAATCTCAGTAGAGACGTGTATTACAAAAAATAATTTGATGCTCAAGCAACAAACTATATTACTAATATTTCATATGTGTAACAAAAATGTATCAAAATACGAGGCCTGTGAGAAAAGTATCCGACCTTTGGCCGGGGAATAAAAACTGGCATACCTTGAGCGTTGGAAACCTAATCACCCTCAAAGTAGTCTCCTTGGGACT